ACCAGAAAAAATAGTAAATAAACATTTTCTAAAAAAAAAAAAAAAAAGGTGCAAAGTAACAAGTAGAAAAAAATGAAAAATGCAGAAAGAACTTGTATGGAGATTTTTCCATCTACAGATTTTTCCCTGACCTTCTTTTCTCTGTAAATTAAGGGTGCACACTATTGCTGAAAAACACAATCACTACTTAGCAGTCAGATGTCCGTATGCACAAAGACACAGATCCCTAAACAAGACCATATCTGCAGATGAAACTTTGTTTGTAGAAGCATTTTTTAAATTTGAACTAGCACCTCATGACTACACCACTTATGTACGAGAAGCTGCAAAAGACACAGGCGCAAGTGGAATGTACAAAACATGGTGACATTAATTTTTAAGTAAATATAATGTGCGATATATTGCGTCACCAAAAATTATTGAGGTCATGTACATATATTGCGCATATAAGTCGATATATTGATTATTGCGACAGGCCTACTTATAAGTATATTTCTTAAGATAAAGAGATTTTTATTATATTTATTTATTCACATATATCATGAATTACTAATTTATATACTAATTTATAAATATGTCGATTTTTTTTAACATTTTACAACCTGGACTAACATTGCCTTGTCATTAAAAGGTCAAATTATCTGATATTTTAAGAGACATTTTTGACTTTGACACACGATAAAGGTCTGCAGGGGGCTTCTGTAAGATACAGTTTTCAGGTGTTTTGTTTTGTTGCCACTACATGATTTTTGATGATGTTTTGATGACATATTTTTTCCTAATAAAATATTACGACAAACTACTTATATCCTGCTAAAAGGATGAATGGATTTTATTTCAGAAATTAAAAACATTCTCATCATGAAAGATGTATAAGTCATTGATACGTACTTCTAGGAGTTCTCAATATACAGTTTAAGTGTGCTATTCACTAACAAAAAGGACAAGGACTTTTATATGTCACACCTCTAGTTGCTGTTTCAACAAGAAATATGTCAACATATAAGAAATTTGCGCTCATCAAACTATTTAAAGGGATCTTTAAGGTACCAGTACATAGATGTTTTCTTTAAGGGATATTTCACCCACAAATTAAAATGTGATGTTTATCTGCTTACCCCTAGGGCATCCAAGATGTAGGTGACTTTATTTCTTCAGTAGAACACAAACATTGTAAGTCTGCGATCCACCGTAAAGCAAGAAGAAGAAGAAGACGCCTCATGCGCCTGCTGTTGAGAACGCGCTCAGGAGGATGCGCCGCCGCTCAGGAAAGTTCGAACAGTTCGGATATTTAATTTGGTTTTGTTAGTGTATGTTTTTTTTTACTCTCCAAGCCGTGATTCCCATTCGCTTCCATTATAAGACTGACAGACTGCAACGGTTTGTGTTAAAAATCTTTGTTTGTGTTCTACTGAAGAAACAAAGTCACCTACATCTTGAATGCCCTGGGGGTAAGCAGATAAACATCACATTTTCATTTTTGGGTGAACTATCCCTTTAAGAACTAGAATCAAAAGATCTTTGTGGAACTTACAAAGGTTCTCCTGTGGCATCAGAATCGCCATTTGGTGGTTCTAATTGGATCTGTTGAATTTCACTGTCAGAGTTTTGGTGAACTGGTCAGCTGGCCCATTTACAGTGTTTAAATGTTTATCTATCCTGTTTTAACGTTTCAGAACATTCAAAGGATTCCTTCAGTCCACCGCTAACCAACAATTTATCTTCTTTTGCAGATTTTTTCTCAAGTTTTTCCTGAAATGCAATCAGAACTGCCTGAAGAATGCAGGAAATCCACGGGACATGCGGCGCTTTCAGGTAAACCATTTGTCTTTTAACCTTTTCATTCATTAGCTCATTACTTCTGCTCACTTTCCAAACATCCATCCTTCTGACTCAGTGTTTCCAACTCTCTTAGTCTGCTTTTGCTGATCCGGTCTGGTTCTGGATGTTTTTGTATACCAGTGTAAAATATTTGGAGTAACTGTGCTCTCATTTATTTTTATTTATTTATTCTTTTTTTTTTTCATGTGTGAAATATTCCTTTCCCTGCATGTAGTTTTACTGTCTTCAGCATTTGATGGTATTAAAAATCTGGCTCCAAGCCTGTAAACACACTGCATAATTGCGCAACTGCACAACAATGTCATTCACGCAGTCTACTAATGCTTTAATGACTGTTAGTTTACATGTCGTTGCCAAGTTACTTCTAGTTAGCAAACTGTCTAAAGTGGACTCAAAGTTCAGTTTCCAAAATACCAGCCTGTTTTGGATCAGTATTCAGTGTTGAAGTAAGATATTATCTCAGCAGCTGTCTGTATAGTTCTGTCTATAAACGAATCATTTGCAGCGCTCTACGAGTGAACTCACAGTGATTGTGTAATTATACAGTCATATTTTACACAGCGAGCGTGCAAGAATGCAGGAGAGAGACTTTCCATCACACACAGACACAATGTGATGTCATAGTGCGGTGGCTGCTAGCAGTCTCAGATGTTTCTTCTAAAATTCCTTATAGGAGAACAACAAACAAGACACATGTTGAGATACAGTAAGAGAACAGAAATGTAAATGTGATGTATTTTGCATAGCTCAAATAGATTGGTCATATGTGACCTTGGAAATGAGAAATATTTGAGCTCATAGTAAGATATTTGCCCTTTTTTTTTTTTTTTTAGTTCATATCGCTTTTGAAACTTTAGAGGAAAAGCATGTGATTACTAGGGTACTCTTCTCAGGAGAAAAATCTGAGAAGCAGGAGAATCGCCATTTGAAAATGCCCATGTCATTGCAATCTACGAGCAACAATTGAGATATTAAAGGGACTCACACCTCTAAGCATCAAGGACCGTGAGAAGTAGAAAAAAAAAAGAGACGGAGATTAGGTAGGGAGAGAGAATAAAGTGAAACTATATGCTTAGCTACCAGTGTTAATTTTGACAGCAAATTTTGATTTAGTTTTAGTCATAGTCTTTTGACTAAAATGCCATTTAGTTTTAGTCATATTTTAGTCACCTGAATTGATTTTAGCTTTAGTCTAGTTTTAGTCGACTAAATATCAAAAGATTTTAGTCGACTAAATCTGCAGTAAATTTAGTCGGCTAAAATCTAATGGGTTTAGTTATAGTACAATGCATTTATTAAGAAATTCTCTAAAATTTCCGAACTCATTATATAGGTTTGATATTAAGGTTTTATGATGATATACACTGATTTAACTGCTGTGACACACAACATGCCTTTATGTTAAAATTAAATAAAACCACTTCTCATAAAGAACAAGAACATGGTCTTCTTTTTAATGAAATACCAATGGTTATATAGGCTAATTATGCATTCTTTATAGCAACTTGTTTAC